TTGGTTGCATTCCTATGGACATTAATTTGAAAAGCACATATCTCATAGTCCTAGATGCTATATTGTTGAATGTGTGTCGTTTTGGGCATGACTTAATCTCCAATTGTTGAAATTTTAGAGATTCCATACAATGACATAGAACTTGCTTGATCTATTGTCAAGGTTAAATGAGCCATGCATATTAGTGAATTTGCGCTTAGCATATACACGAATTGGACATTTCAAACACCAAAAAGGCCTATGAATACACACATGTTTAAGACACTGCCCACATCACCCTCCGTCCCTTATTTTACACTACCATTTGACACACCAAACGAACTCCGATTGAGCTGAAATTTGGGTATGTGCTAGACCTCATTGCATACTTTCATATGCCCGGACGTTGCCCGGGACAATCTTGATAATTCTCGATGGTGCCCGGGGCCGAAGGTGTACACTCAATCATGACTCCAACCCTTTCACTATGAGCATATTCACCCAAATTTTCTTAGTTTTCGTATGGACTATACATTTATACTATTCTAATCATCATACGTTGTTCATTACACACCGTGGTAGTATACATGCACATTGAAACAAGTTTGGGGGATTTGTGAATTACGTGCTTTTCATTTCATGCGATTTCTCGCTATACAACAAGATGTTTAATGCTAGCTATTTTCCAACTTTGCAGGATGCCACCAAAACGAACTTCAAAAGGGAAAGAAAAGGTTGGCTCATCATCCGACACAGCACGTACTCGAGTGCTTGAAGGAGGGATACAGAGATTTTTGACTTCCGAGGCAGCAGCCCGATATGAAAATATAGTGAGTCGATGGACAGTGACACCAGAGCGGGCTGTTAAATTGGATTTCCTGATTTCAAGTTGACCACTTTGGTGCATAACTGTGGATGGGGTAAAGTAGTGGAGCAGCTACATCGGATTTATAAATTGTTGGTAGGGGAATTTTACGCCAACTTCAATACAGAAATTGACACACCAGGGTCCGACCACCTGCATCAGACTTGGTCAGGGGAAAATGGATCAAAAATTTTCTGAAGTTTAGACTTTAGTTACTACCATAAAATTCTAAATTTAACCCTGTGAAAAATGGTTTGCTTGCTGATTTGGCATATCTGTCACTTCCTTTCTCTTTATCTTCTAGCCCTAATGTTGAATAACTGTCTTAAATGTACCGTATTAGTTAATTTATGGTGTAAATTTATTTCTTATATTTCGTTGAAAAGTTATTTTCTATTTTCACATAAAAAGGAGTTGTTTCATATTTTTTTTCCAAATTGAACTAAGCTTTATTTCAATAATGTCATCCAACATAGCAAGTGAGGTAAAAAGTGAAGGATATCGCTATTTGTACACTTTGTTTGACAGATAGGATGATAGATTCAACTTTTGGGAATATTTCAAGTTTTTTTTTTTTTTTTCACAAACTCCACATCAACAAGAAACATTTCATCTATAATCATTTTTGTCAAAGAAAGTGTACAACTAACTTAATTCAAAATTCAATTACAACTAATCCAACAATCTTGCTATAGCGACAGGTTCAATGACAGAGAGGATACGTATCAATACATGATTGAATAGTTTGAAAAAAATACAATACTCAATCACTATCTGCCACACCACCATGTCACATCCATCATTGTCACTGACTCTGGTCAAGTATCATTTTTCCTAATCCAATTACAGGAGGAGGAGCAAATGAAGCAAAATCAGGGGTCACCCTTTTTCCCTCGAGGGGAGTAAGAAGACACTTACCAATACATACTTCTTTTATTAGACTCCTGGTGAAAATATTTTCCATTTTTTAATAGAAAAATACAATGTGATACAGCATTTAAATCAGATTACACCCAGCACAATTAACTCGAAAAGAAAAGGATGGTGATAATACATGACATAGCATTTTCACCTAATCCTTCAAAGAAAATCGGTTATTTGTTCGTTGATAACTCATAAATAAATGTTTAGAATCGTGCCCGATGACATAAACTTTGGTTGTATTCTATCATCTCAATAAGGAGTCAACATTTTAACTAGAATCGAACCAATATAGTCGATTTCAGTTTAGATCCAAAAATTACATGAAATTGAATGTCCCACTTTCAAAATATTCAAAGTTTAATCTGTGGTTCTAGTTCTAAAAATACTTGGACCGAAACCTAATAGGAATCACATTTTTCTTTTAATTTTTTATTCTTTTCACTTTCACATATTGTGTAATTGTCCGAAGACGTTCACTAATACTAGATACAGGAAAGACATTAGTATCAATGCCTTTGGTTTCATTTACAAAATGTCTGAATTTTAATGAATAATTTCGAATCTTGAAATACACGTATTGAATTCATGCCTATTCCTACTCTCTACAATGAGAAAATAATGGATATAGAACATATTTATCCAAAGCGACTTTGTACCACCTAATCTTTTTCTGTCAATTCAAAAAATAGAAAAATACGTTGATGAATAAAATATATATATATATATATATATATATATATATATATATATAATTTACTTGTTGATTATAACTCAACAATTTAGTATCCTTGACACTTTATAATAGGGCAAGCAATTTTATTTATCATCAATAATTGCTAATATCAATCTAGGTGAGATATATGACATTAAATGATATGTCCAATTATTCCATATGATTCATTTAATTGGATCTAATTGTTAGTATCATCTAAATTGATGTTAAACATCATATGTCGCAAATATAATAATAATTATTATTATTTTATTTTTTTTAAAGACATATTGCGCCCTTTTTTTCAATGCATTTGTTGGGAATTTCGCAGCCAATCACGTATCAACAAATCGTATAGGTTGAAAACTTTAATCAAACTTTGTTAAAATGCACTTCTCACCAACCCCACCACCCACTACTAGACCTTGTTTGCTGTCTTTCCTTCAAAATTATCTTTTGTGTCTATATAGTTAGACATAAATGCACCATCTCTAGTTCTCAAGATTCATTCTTCTTGTCACTCTGTAACACATAGAGAAATTTGAAGACATGAGCAGGGTAGATATCGAGAGAACAACAACAGGGTTTGCTGCAAAAGACCCTTCTGGGATTCTCTCACCCTATACTTACACCCTAAGGTATATCTAACTTTAAGGCAGAAAAAGAAGTTAAAATCTCAATCCTCGTCCTGAAGTTTTGTTTACTAGTTCACACCAAACATACCCTTGATCATTTTTTCTCTTGTATATATATATTTTTTTTCTTTTTTATAGTTTAGGATGAATTTTGTAATTAATTTTGGCTTGGGGAAATGTGTTAACAGAAACACGGGCCCTGAAGATGTTTATGTGAAGGTGATAAGCTGTGGGATTTGCCATACTGATATTCACCAAATCAAGAATGATCTTGGCATGTCCAACTACCCCATGGTTCCTGGGTAATATTCCTCTCAGTATATATATATATTTTTTCTATCATGTAAAGGTCATCCTTATAAAGGAGGAAAGTCGAGGTAGGTTGATTGGCAGCATAAAATTTTGGCAAATGGAATCATAATAAATATTTCATTCATTGGTTGTTCCCTGTTAGCTACGGCCAGGAATCAATTGAATTGGCGAAAAAAGAATTCATGTAGCCGGCCTAAAACTGTTTCTTTTGACAAAACCAAACATGTTATTTTGGATTTAGTGCTGTCTTCTTTTTATTTAATAATTCATAGGTCACAAGCCTTCATGGAATTATACGACATTATTGTTCACAAATCTTTAACCATTAATAATATTTGTGAATAGGTATTCGTGATAGATATGATAATGATAAGACAACTACTTATTGCAATCTTATATTTATTATGTGCATCTATTGAGTGTTTGGTAGAGATGATTGGAGAATATTGTCTAATTGTTTCCGAGTACTGAGTACCAAACATGCATCGAATGTTTTGTGCTGAATTGTTGTCCCTATTTTTGAGCTTCTATATAGGCATGAAGTGGTAGGTGAGGTGGTGGAGATTGGATCAGTTGTAACCAAGTTTAGAGCCGGAGACGTTGTAGGAGTCGGTTGTCTGGTAGGATGCTGCGGGAACTGCCACCCTTGCAAATCGGAAATCGAGCAGTACTGCAACAAGAAGATTTGGTCGTACAACGATGTCTACACAGATGGCAATCCCACACAAGGAGGATTTGCTGGCGCCATGGTCGTTAATCAAAAGTAAGTGTCCATATGACTTATTTATACTTCTTGATTTATCCAACCAATATTTGAATTAGATTTTTTGGACTCAAGTTACTGGTGTTTTTGATTAGTTCAATATGACAAGAACTTGGGATCAGCCACCAATATCAACCTTATTCCTCTCAGTGTCGTCACCTATCTACTGAAAGAATGCAAAAGGCGGAAATGTTTTAATCTAATGGAGAATTAATGTATTGACAAAAAATTTCATTCCATCTGTTCTCTATCTTTCCTTTAAGAATTCCCACAGTAATATGTACCCTAGGTTCTCTTTAAGTATCACCACATGTCGTTTTATCTAGTATGAATATGCATATATCGAAGAATTTTTCTGAACTTTCTTCAATTGATCCAAGTTTTTTAAGAGAGAGTTTTTGTTTATTCGAGTTTTTAGGTGATTTATACTTCTTTTTAGGTTTGTTGTGAAGATTCCTGATGGTATGGCACCGGAACAGGTAGCGCCTCTACTCTGTGCCGGAGTGACAGTGTACAGCCCCCTGCACCATTTCAACCTCAAACAGAGTGGCCTAAGAGGGGGGATTTTGGGGCTCGGAGGGGTTGGACACATGGGAGTGAAGATAGCAAAGGCCATGGGACATCATGTCACTGTCTTTAGTTCTTCAGACAAGAAGAGAGTCGAAGCACTGGAAGACCTTGGCGCAGATGAATACCTCGTTAGCTCTGATTCCAGTCGAATGCAAGAGGTTGCTGACTCACTGGATTACATCATTGACACGATTCCAGTTTTCCATCCTCTCGAGCCTTACCTTTCTTTGTTGAAAGTTGATGGAAAATTGATCTTGATGGGCGTTATTAATACTCCATTGCAGTTCATCACCCCCATGGTTATGCTTGGTGAGTTTCGGTTTTTTCATCTATCTGTCTATCATTATTCAAACACAGTATAGTTCACTTTAACAAACAAAACGTTAAGGAAGATGAAGTACAACATCGTGTGGTCATCCAAGGGGAGGCACTTTTCTATCCGAGCATATCTAAATTCTAGTTCTCTCATTGGAATGAACGAGATTTTAGCTTTTATTTTCCCTTACCCTTAATACTCGTGGGCTGCTTACCAGTATCCAAAATGTTTGATTACATTAATAAATGCAGGGAGGAAGACGATCACTGGAAGCTTTATCGGGAGCATCAAGGAGACGGAGGAAATGCTAGAGTTCTGCAAGGATAAGGGTGTTACTTCAACTATTGAGGTGGTTAAATTGGACTACATAAACACCGCGTTTGAGAGGTTGGAAAAGAACGACGTTAGGTACAGATTTGTCGTCGATGTGGCTGGCAGCAAACTTGACCAATGAAAACACAGAATGGATACAAGCTTACATATTTAAGTTCTGTTTTTCTTAAGACTTATGCATACTAAGCAAAACTGAGAGTTATGTGTTCTTGTTCTTTTTCTTCGAAGACAATCAAATCTGGGTTTTGTTCATTTCTTGGATAATATAATCAGTACTTCGAAGTTGTTGAAAGTAGTGGATGTTAATGCAATTGGTTAGAGTTCTTGAAGGTCTTAACCGATAATGATGCCCAAACTCAACGTAAAAGCTTGCAAGTCTCTCCAATAACAAAACAAGAAACAGTCAGGAGAATAAAGAGCACAAGAGATTTTAAGTCAGGAGCTTTCTTTATTAATGAATCAAAAAACAGCCTCTAGAGAATTCAAGCACTCATTCACACACTTTCTCTTTTCTTTGTACACAAAGATTTTGGCTTTAGTTATAATTCTGTTATTATCCTTGTTAGCAGTTAGTTGAGAGAACTACTTGGCCTATAACAGAATTATATCTTCCCTCAACTAAGTCAGACATCACCTATCAAATGGCTGACATCCTTCACAACAGTGGAGAGAATGTTTAAATGATTATGCCTCCCATTGAACCCCATTTTTTGGGGGAAAAGGTCAAACTAGAATTTTAATCACACGAATAATTAGATTCGTAACTTTTATCAATATTTACAATACACATTATATCAACTTATATTAAAATCTGCTAAAACTTTTATCAAAAGTTTCGTCACACAGCCCCTTGATGTTTTAGCTTTATTTCCTCTGTTAGTGGTTGAATTAAGTGGAAAAAAAGGTAGCAATGAGTTGGTCCCAGATTATTGTTAAGTATAAAACCCACTTTGTTTCGGGTCCACCCACCCACTACCATTACCACACCCCAGTGGACTTTCTTGTCATAGGGCTACCAACTTTGAGTTATCACCTTCGACAGGCATGCTTACCAACAATAATTAAAAAGAAATTAAGTTGTCCTAAAGAATTTGTTCATGAATTATAGAAAACGAGAAGAGAGAGATTTCCTTGTCATCATTTCCAATTATCAATCCTGGTCTACAAGAGTGACCTTCCATGGCCCAGTTGACGAATAATAGAAAAGATTTATGAAGTTTTGATGATAAAATCGTAGTGACGACTCTAGATCAACTTAAGAGAATTGTGGTAGAGTAATTAGAAATGTATTACAAGTGTTTTATTTAGCTCGTCCCTTCTTTTTAGCTATTGCTTCCTTACATAGCTCATGACCCAAAGTTTTGTCAAACTATAGTGTCCATCCTCGATATGTATGCTACCACCCCTTTAATGGAGATTTCATTGATTGGGGATTTCGGTGATGACAGATCGTCATGACACTTAGATCGTAGCCTGCAACCTAACTACATAAGCAATAATTATCTGCAACCAAGGCAATCATTACTTTCCTTTGATTGGTGGCCACGACAATGTTGATGTCAATGGAGTGACCCCTTGTCTCTGATTGGTTATAAAGGTGGTACTAGCATCATATTCTTCAGTTTAGTCATGATGATGTTTCCAAATGACAGTATCTATTGATTGTTCTACGTTTGACTTTTCTATCAAATAAGCTTCTTTGTTTACTCTGAAGTTGATCCACATTTGATCCGAGGTGGACTCCACAGATCGGACACCAACATGAAGTATTACGCAATACTAATGAAGAAGAAAAAACTAAACCAAAAATCATTATACTATCCAATCTTTCGGATAACATTTACACCATCAAACAAACCTAGGTGGTTTTACATTTTAATTTGGTGAGTGGGTTTGTTGCCAATAAAGTCATCACCTTAGATGTGGGGTGCTACCGTGGAATGTCCATTATCCGTCAATAAAATATTGAATGGTTGCCATTCTTGATCAAAACAGCAAGTAGAGGTGAACCTCAAAATGGATGCAGTTTTCTGGCATTTCCAGCCATTAAGATTCTGGGAATTGCCTGTTCAGTGATGCAGAGATTTTAGATATACACGTTCGGAGCATTTGATAAAAATAATAAGCTAGAGTTGTGTTAGACATTATGTTGTCAAACGACCCCCGGGCGATGATGAGAACCAATTTTATCAGTCGACATAAATGACTGAACGATAATTCAACATCGAATAATGGATGAACCGACCAAACGTTGCCTTACCTATTGGACGACTAATATTCTTTGTGGCTTGTTGATTTCTTCCATTGGAAGTTAACCCTAGTCGAGCCTACTTACCATATCCCGACTTACCTTATGTTGGCCACTTGACTTACTATATATATTGGTGTTTTTGCCTTTGTTGGTACCGTCCAAAAGTTGAACCCGTGAGTTGAAGAAACTGCCGTGTCCAAGCCGTGTCTTCTGTCTTCATCTTCTTCGTGATTTCTTCTCCACCCAAATTGCTTGAGTCTTTGTGAACCTTACCTGAGTGGTATCCATCCTAAGTGTGTGGATTGAATCAACCAAGCAAGAGAAGAAAGCAACCATAGGAAGAAGAGGCGCCGGCGGGTGGTTCATTCCAGTTTTGATGTTGAATTCGGTTTTAATGGTTAACTGAGCCCGGGAATCAGCGTGAGCAGCAAGAGGAAGGTCCTAACA